GTGTGTATGTGTGTGTGTGTGTATGTGTGTGTATGTGTATGTGTGTGTGTGTGTGTGTGTGTGTATGTGTGTGTGTGTGTGTGTGTATGTGTGTGTGTGTGTGTATGTGTGTATGTGTTAGATTTAAACATGCCTATTGGAACATCTTTTAAATTATATTAAATATTACTTTTGACAACAAAATATTTCCGTGACCTCTGACCTATCTTTTGACCACAGTATTCTGGTATGGACCGAATATAATTGGGTTTATTTTGTTCTCCCGGTAACTATTTGTTGCTCTGCCACTGTTTACCGGTGTTTACAACCAGTATCGTCCTGTTTCGTAATGCGTTTCCTCTCTCTCTCTTTCTCTACATTTCTTATTTGTGAAAGTTTAACATAAGCTTTTTTTTTTATCTCGAACAGTTGAAGGATTTTGATAGTTAAGATTACGTCTCGACTTATAATTTTTTCCCCGTTATATCTTAACATCAGCCATTATTAAATTATACAGGTTTGTTAAACATGACGTCACAAAACGTTAAACTTCTTAAGCACAATATACATTTGTTATTACAAGCAGTAATGGTGGCTATTCAAAACATTCCCACCGCGTTAACATTACAGTCAGTGGTGTGTTTATATTTCAAAAACCTGGCGGTTAACAAAGGTCAACAATTCTTAACAACAACTTCCCTTTGGTTTATCATACACACTTTGAAATCGAACACGTTCAGAAATAATCACTACTAATACGATTTTTGTTATATATAGAAATACTTTCACGTAACTGAGATATTGGCAAATATTTTACGGTGTTGTTTTTACTCCTGTGTGTATGAGTGTAAACAGTATTAACTCCGATATTGGCAAATATATTGCGGTGTTGTTTTTACTCCTGTGTGTATGAGTGTAAACAGTATTAACTCCAATATTGACAAATATATTACGGTTTTGTTTTTACTCCTGTGTGTATGAGTGTAAACAGTATTAACTCCAATATTGGCAAATATATTACGGTTTTGTTTTTACTCCTGTGTGTATGAGTGTAAATAGTATTAACTCCAATATTGGCTAATATTTTACGGTGTTATTTTTACTCCTGTGTGTATGAGTGTAAACAGTATTAACTCCAATATTGGCAAATATATTACGGTTTTGTTTTTACTCCTGTGTGTATGAGTGTAAATAGTATTAACTCCAAACGTTTTCACTTGATTTCGATCAAATTTGGTGTACCAATTTATTAACTTTGGATGAATTTAGGTCAAAGTCACACTGAAGGTCAAAACTCGCGAACGGAGTGAGACAAAAATATGATCTCAAAACCTAAACCTAAACCTACATTATTATTATTATTTTGTGGTCGGGAATTGTTTGGTGCACATTTCAGGTTGATTACTGAAAACCCAAAACAGGGTTGGGGGGGGGGGGTTGCATATTCTGATTGCCTTTCTAGTTTTCCTCTGCATCCAATCCAAACTTAACAATCTGTCAGTTCCAGTCACCTGTCTAAAACTGGTGACCATATGACTTTGAGAATGAATTTTAAGTCTAATGATAAATCAGTAATATCTGCTCCCATTAATTATCAATAAGTTCTAATCCAAACTAAGCTAATTATAAAGATCAGAACTAATACTTTAAAGAAACTGGTATTACAAAGCGACTTGAAGTGCATAATTGTTTGAATCTATTAATATGAAGGCTTAATGAACAGAATGCATTACATCATCATTCTGATATCATCGTTATTAACTATATTTATCAGAAGACAATGTAAGAGATTTAGTTTAGTCCTAAGTTACTAGTGCAAAATAATATTCATTATTGTAAAATTGTCAATTTTGTTTGTTTGTTTGTTGTTAAGCGCCAAGCTACACAATGGGCTATTTGTGTTGTGCCCACCACGGGTATCGAGACCCAGTTTTTAGCGTTGTAAGCCTTCAGAATAATAATAATGAAACTGACTTTAAAGAAAGAAAAAAAAAGAACTATTTCAGTATTTATTTTATGCATTGCAGATCCACTCCGAGCAGTCGACTGTGCGCTTGAGTTGGCCCGTAAAGCTGTTCACACGTTGTGGACTCTCATAACTTTCCAATAAACAATAATAGATTTATTATATTATATTCTAGCCTGTTAGTCGTGAGATAGCTGATAGGCTTCATTGTGAAAGCCTCGTTTATATTACACTTTAACGGTTTCGCCAGCAGCAGTTGTTGATGCCGCTGTTGGGAAAACTTCGCTGTGGCAGCTTTTGTTATAATCATGTCTCTCTGTACCAATGTGTCGAACCAACATTGGGACACCGTTAAACAAGGTGTTTCTTCTTTTTTGCTGTACTACAAAGTGTACAGATACCAACACTGGGATGTCATTAAACAACACGTGTCTTCCCGTGTACAGTACCACAAAGTGTACCAGTCATCGTGTATTTTACCATGTGTTGTTAACTACTTGACATTGTTCCAGAATACGATAAGGTTTTATTTACCCTCGGGGAGGAGGGTAGGACTTACTCGTAAGGTTATGTTAAGATACTTCGAAGGACGTTGAAAAAATTAAATAAAAATCTCTTTTAAAACTTAAACCTCCCTGTGTGAGTTTCTCTTTACCTCAATCATTCTGTGAACGTGCCCTAGTAATGGGAAAATATAATTAGCGTAGAATGCAAGTTTTCAAATGAAGTACTTGTATCTTTAAGGATGTAGTAGTCCCACAATGTTTAGGATGTAGTACTCCCACATGTTTAGGATGTAGTACTCCCACATGTTTAGGATGTAGTAGTCCCACATGTTAAGGATGTAGTAGTCCCACATGTTAAGGATGTAGTACTCCCACATGTTAAGGATGTAGTAGTCCCACAAGTTTAGGATGTAGTAGTCCCACAAGTTTAGGATGTAGTACTCCCACATGTTAAGGATGTAGTAGTCCCACAAGTTTAGGATGTAGTACTCCAACATGTTAAGGATGTAGTACTCCCACAAGTTTAGGATGTAGTAGTCCCACAAGTTAAGGATGTAGTACTCCCACACGTTTAGGATGTAGTAGTCCC